GGGCCCGCCCCCCGCCGCAGGGAGGCCCGGGGTCGTGACTCAGCAGCGGGCCAGGAAATAAACCGCGAAGCGCTGAGCCCCGCGCTCAGAGTAGTTGCCGGGAGAGGAGACGGGGCCGGCTTTCATGTGAGAGGTGAGAAAGGGAGACTGAAGTGGAGGAGGAACGCAGGAAGCCATCAGCTCCTGAGTCCGGGGCCTAAAGCGCCTTCCTTCCTTCCGGTGCGGCGCAGCTGCCGCCGGGCTGCCGGCGAGGCTGGAGCCGGGTACTGCGCTTGCTTGTGGGGCTGTGGGCTAGGCCTTGGCATTGCCGTGTGCTCCATGTTGCTGCATTATTCTTAAATCTTTTAGTCTAGCAGCACCCCAGTCAGTAAAACTTTGAAGGAAAAACCAGTAATTTCATAATCCTCATTGCTTATTTTATGTGTTTTTCCTTCTGTAAGGGTATATCGCAAAACATGAATTAGAGGCACTGATCCATCACTTTTCTGGCTATCAGTGTTCTGCCTGCTAATGTCCTGCTAGCCCTAGCTGGAGACGTTAGGGTGAGCCGCAGCAAACCTGGGGAACAGGTAGGTCCTGGGCCCTGTGTGTGTTAGTGCTGGGTGTTTGGCATCATCTTGTTTTACTGGAATAGGGATTGCTTGCTCGTTTTTCCTTCTTTGCTTTAGGACTCTGTTTTTTACCATGATGTTTTATAAATGGCCTGTAAAATGCATGAAGTGGTAGAAGGTTCTAAAAACACCGTAGCAGTAAGCTGAGCAGGGAGTGAACTGGCAGTATTTCCTTTTATCGCAGAGCTGGGAGAGAGCCCAGCCTGCGCTCAGTACGGAGGCGGGGCAGAGAAGTTGCAGACAGCTAGTAAATGCAGCACGCATTGAGAGGTCTTGAGGGTATTCCAAACTCAAGCCAGAAACCTTTGGAGCGAAAAAAGCTTTCCAAGAATGGCAGCAACACAGACTTGAAAACTGTAGATGAAGGAATTTGTGCTGGATCTTGCTTCAGTTTGATTCGCTGATGAAATGACTATGCACACCTGATGTACACACAACTTGCCCCTGTTCTCTTAAAGCGATGATTTTTTAACTCATTTAGTTGAAATCATTGACTCTAACTTCTGAATTGTCATAATTCGGTTTGAACATGGATTATATAGGCTTGTTAATTTAGGCAGGAATAAGTTCAACCTGAGTTATTGTCCTGGGTTTGGCCAGGACAGGGTTAATTTTCACTGGAATCCAGGAAGGGACACAGCCGGGCGGGCTGACCCCACCTGGCCAAACAGAGCCGGGTATTCCATAACATGTGCTGTCATGCCGGGTTCCGGTGAGGGGAGCTGGGCGGCGGGAACTCACTCGTGGCTGGGGAGTGAGCGGCGCCGGTCCGGCCTGGGAGAGCGGCTCTCCGGGTTGTGCGGTTTGTGTTGTGTATTCTCCTTATCTGTATCGTTGTTGTTCCTGTTCCCTTTGTTTGCTGTTCTGTTAAACTGCCCTTATCCTGACCCACCGGTTTCTGCCTGTTTCTTTCCATTCTCCTCCGCACC